TGGATTTTGAGAACCGGTTGACCGACCCGAGATATCTCTCGGAGCCAGAACCATGGTTCCTGGTCCTCGCGGCCTGTCCCCGAGCTCATCCGAGACCTGTGATTCACCTGGAACAAGAGATCTTGGGGGTCGGGTCGGCATGGCCTCCGGGTCGTCTGAATGAGGGCGTGCCATGTTCATCGCCATGCTGATGAAGTCGAACTGTCCGTGCCTGAGACCTGACTCAGAGCCGCTCCTATCGGGGCGAGCTCTCTGCGCTTGCTCATCATCAGTGGCCTGACGGAAAATGCGATCGTCTCCATCGTTGGTGTACCTGCCACGGCTCCTGGGTGTGTCCCTACCGGGATCTTCACCCCTGCGGTCCTGACCTGTCGAACCTGCTTCGAAATCCTCGTAGTCGAAGTCCGGTAGGTCCTCACCTGAGCGAAGGCCACCTAGGATGGCCTCCTCATCCACGACGCTCCTCCGAGATCGTGGGGTCGACGTCATTGAACTTGTAGTTGATGGTCTCAAGCGCGTAGGAAAGTCCTACGGCTGATAACCTGTGATTCGGGCACGAGCCTGTGCCCAGGCAATGGGTAAGTTGGGGTAAACAAGCCACAAAAGAAAGGTTCCCCAAAAGCAAACCAATCCCCGGTCCCAAAGATCAGGGTTTCCCACACACCAGAGAACAACAACCAAAGGGAAACAAACCAAACAAGAAAAGGGTTAACCCGCAACCTTGGTCGACAACAGGCCGCACGACTGGTCCCTACCAACCTGGCGGCGGCCCGAGGTCTCTTTCTCCCCCGAGATGCCGTCGGTCGACGCAAGGGTTCGGCGACGCCCATTCGAGGCGCGACGGAACCCGTAACTTGAGCCAAAGTGGCACCGGATAGTTGCTATCGCAACACGCCGGTAGTCACCTGAAATGCATGGCTAATCACAATTGTCGATTTGGAAGGGAGGTAGCACATGTGTATATATATATATGCATGTGTATGAATATATATATATATATGGTATATGTATGCATTGCATATATAGTATATATTGTTCTTTCCTGCAAAAGACGGTCTCTACTTTAGGGCATCACGATATGAACCGTACCTGGAGTCTATGAACATTAGCACACCCTGTCTGGCGCTTGAACACAACCCCCAGCGTACCAACTCCTCACGTGCCATGGTCACTTCTCCGAGTCGGATGGCTCCCAAGGAACCTTTGGTGACCAAACAAACCCCGCAGAGGTGGACAAACCCGCCCAACACAAGGGTCTTTGCCTGGCAGTAATTACGTCCAAGTCCGGGCAAATCTGACTGGGTGTCCGGGCATATAATTCAGCAGCGCGTGTGGCGACCATTTCCTGCGGGGTGGGCTCCTCGGGGCGAGCAAAACATGACTCCCTCCCATGGACGACCCCAAAATCAGAGACAGGATGCGCCCAATGGAAGATACCCTCCAAGGTGGTTCATGAGGGGTCTAACAACCGTTGTTTTGCTGTCGGCTTCTTCCACCATTATTGGACCATTGCCGGTGAGGTTGGGGCCATTGCCCAAGTTACCGCACCTTCCTGGCGGGGGGGGGGGGGTGAAAAAAGCGCAGTGGGTTTGTTTCCCTACCAGCCGTGGGCAAGCTTCATGCGACTTGCGTAAAACCCCTTGCATGGTCTGTCAATTAGCTAAATGCTTAGAAAGATTCACTGGGGGGCCCAATCACTCAGCCAACTCTTGCACCATCTAAGTATTGTCAAGGGAGAATCAGCGGTTCCCTCAAGGAAACGATCTATGTCAGGCGGTTCCGATTCATCCTCCAGCGGGTGTTCAGGACAGCTCAGGACATCTACAAAAGCAAAAGGTCCATAGTGAATGGAGAAGGGATGACATCAGGATGAAATCTCACTCATCCAAGTGTAGACTATTAAAGATGGATGAGTGAGTGACATTCCTTTTCATATGTCTTGCCGGTAGATGAAGGGCGACAAGAAGCAAAATGGATGGGGAGAACGGTCCAAATGATAGGTAAGAAAATAAGCGTTCGCATCCCTCCCTAGCTATCTCATATCCATGTCCCTTTCATTTGCAGAGATCTCCGGATTGCTCTCCCTTTCTTAGACCCCCAAATCCGAAAAACATGTGGATTGTCCTTTTGCTTTCCCATCACAACCACACCAAAAGGGGGCCCCCTCAAAAAAGGACTACCCTAAAGTATTTGACAAATTTGTGGCAGAGAGGTTCTGCAAGGGCAGACAAAATGCATAGAAACTACAGATTAGTTGCCTGCAAAATGCTTGCAGAAAGAACCACCCCGAACCCCCTTCCTCCCCTCCCCCCTTCCTCCCCTCCCCCCTTCCTCCCCTCCCTCCCTCCCGCCCTCCCTCCCCTCCTGCCCCTCCCCCCCTCCCCCCCACCCACCTCGCAACACATCCCGACCGATTTCGCTTTGGCTTCCATCTCTCGCCGAGGCTCTGGAGGCCATCGCCCTTGTCGCCCGACCGATTCGCTCGCTTTGTGGCAACAAGAACCGCCCCTGATTCGCTCAAGCTGTAAATTCATCATGGGGTTGTGCGGTGTTCACAACGGTAGCTTTATACATTCAAGAACGTGCCAAAAAGGGCTAGATGTTCGAAAAGAGTTGGTAAAAACATCAAGCCGAATCAAGCCCGGCTTAAAATTTGTCCACCAGGGTCCCAATAAGACACATGCCCAAACACTGCAGGATGACATCAGAGAGCCGGCGTTCAAAGGGTTGACCCTCCATTCGCTTCACCCATCCTTTCTTTCCCGAGTCTTTGGCGCCTTTCCCAACATCTTTGGGGCCAACACCGCCAAACCGCTGGAGCTTTCAGGATGATTCTTAGCTCTCGGCTGCCGCCGGCATGCCGCCCTGCGCAACTTCGATATCTTCGTATCCGCTTCGACACCGAAGACAAAGGACATGGGAGCCCTTCCAGGGGTACCTCCCATTCAACCCGAGTGAAATTTCGTCTCTCCCTTCAATTCCCGGGCGCTTCGAACGTAGCCACCAGTTGGTTCGCTGGTTTCAGGCAAGTTTCCTTGGTTGCCAGGGACTTGGAATGAATCGCGTCTGGCAAATGGAAACCAAAGGAGACCAAACTAACATTCCCCAACCCACTGGGCTAGGCGTTTGCGCCACTAAGCACTGCACGAAGAAGAAAAAACAAACATCCATCCATGACCTCGAAGTAAGAAACCTATCAGCTTTCCTCGCGTTCTTTAGGGCCACCTAGGGCCCGTTCCTCGCCCTCGCTATCTCACCCGCAATCGATTGCCGACGCCCCCGCCACGGCCTCGTGCATTCCATCTCTGAATTCCGCAAATGCGAATGCTTTTGGTGGGAGGGGGGGTGGGGGGGGGGGTCTCAACAAACTGCTCTTGGTGGGCCGGTTGCCTTTGTGGCTTTTGGTTTTGGTGGGGCTTGTCTTTTGATGGATCGCGTTTTGCTTGTTGGTTCCGTGAAAAGAAGACAAATGCCAACTCAACAACAATGAGACACACCCTCTGTGTCACAGGATGCCAAGACTCACTGCTTTCCTTTGTGCCCTCACAACTCTCTATATTGAACCAGAAACTCACCCGAAAAGCGCACCCTTAAAAAAAACAACGAAATACTTTTGTAAGTCCACCTGTCCCGTGGACGCCAGTTAGTGATAGCGTGCCAGTGACGGCTGACGGTTGGCGATGTGCGTGTCTCTGAGCACAGCTCTCACCAGATCTCAGCGAATCTGCTAGTTAGTTCATTAGTTCACTGCAAACCCAGGTGCGCATGCTCCTTTTCTGTCTCCGCTAATCCTAACCGCAAACTGCAGTTTCTACGCGACTTGATCAAGTGCCAGTGCTTGCCGCCACGCAGATCAAATCCCTCGCCCGGCACGTCAGGGCCGCGACTATCGTCCCTGCACGCGTCTGGAGGGCGGAGTCAGACGGTCGGGCTCCCTACGATGCCCGAAGCGATTTATATGGAATGAAATCACACAAATGGGATCCAAAAAATGAGCACCGCTTCAAAAACACCAACGAAAATCAGCTAGCCACTAATTGGTGGCTTAGATTGCTGGTTTAGTGGGTATAGGTCCAAAAACAGAGGCGAAAGGTGCGCCTTGCCCGCGCCGTCGCCTGGCGAATCTGACCAGCGCTGACTGGCCAGCTGAAAGTCCATTTGGTTGGGCCTTGACTATGAGGAAACTTGCCAACTCCACAGGTAAGTGCCTGGAGTCTCCATTATTTTGGGTAATGCCCCCATTTTGTAAGGGTCATGGAGCTCCAGGTAGTTGCTTCACTCCATGGTACAAAATATTGACCTTGGTTTGAGGCGAGCCTCTTACTATGAACCGCATGACACGCATGAAACCAGGATTGCACCTACCAAATTGGACCCTTTTGGGATCCGGGAAGGTGCTTTGTCCCTTCAGTTGGCCCGCAAAAGAGCGGGGGATACACTGAAAATCGTATGTTCTGACTCTGTTCCATATACGGGCGTGTCTCAAAGTAGGGGACCCCTAAAAAAAAGATGGTTCGCCTTTTGGTTCACCCATATTCTGTGAGTGGAATGTGGCAAACTTAGGACCAGCGAGGCCACCCATTTGGGGGTACAAACATGCTGAGAAAACCTGTTCATGTATTGGCTGTGGGTCAAAACCAATGGGACCATTTTGGGGTAGGTGAAGTCACCACCCATTTTTAGTCTATTTTAGTGGGGATTGGCAAGATTGGGATGTTCACTGAGGGTACTGGATTTTGACCCATGCCCATATTCAGCCTGATTACCCCCCAAATATGGCGTACGTTGGGGGAAAGATTCTACAAAGGGTTGTCGCCAAAACCCCGACCGGTTTCGCTTTGGCTTCTTAGCCTTAAATAAAGACACAACCAGGGTGGCGCATTTATACCTGCAGCGCTCTTGTTGTGAGCCATTTTGGGTACAAGGGGAACAATCTTGGAGGGCGCTGGCGCGTTCATTTTGGGCTTCCCCAATATGCCGAATTTGGCGCCGCCTTGCCGTCAGCCTCGCTCCACCCGGCGCTTCTTCGCGCTGCTCTCGGTGCCCTCGCGAGGAAATCCCACTCATAGGATGCAAGGACCCTGTTCAATGCCATGGTGCACAAGGCTGGCTGCAATGTCCGAAACAGTCACACACGCAAACAAGCAAGCAAGCAAGCAAGCAAGCAAGCGAGCGAGCGAGCGAGCGAGCCAGCGAGCCAGCGAGCCAGCGAGCCAGCGAGCCAGCGAGCCAGCGAGCCAGCGAGCCAGCGAGCCAGCCAGCCAGCCAGCCAGCCAGCCAGCCAGCCAGCCAGCCAGCAAGCAAGCAAGCAAGCAAGCAAGCACACACACACACACAGCGAGCGCGCACACTCTGCCTCCCCTGGTTTCCAAATTAAGGCCAGAAGCTTGGGGAACAGGGCGAGGGGAGTTTGGGGCGTTGGAATGCCGGTGCATCTTTCTGGGCAGCTTTGAACATGAAACTGGGCTGAAAATCCCTCTATGTTTTAAACTCATCGAACTCTCACCCTCAAGGCCATCTGGCGAACACGGAAAATCAGATCTTCACATTCTGCTTCACATTTTGTCTGCAAAATACCAAGACATGGTTTTGGTACACCCCAGTCAAGGATCCCCTCTAAAACTAGGACACCGGCTGGCATAAAGCAGCGATTTGTGAATCCTGGGCTCCCATTCAGCGTCCAGCCTGTCCGTCTGGGCCGCTCTTTTCCGCCAGCAACGCTGGAACGGGACGAACTCGTGGAAACGTTGCTTCGAGTTGGCCAACTCTTTTTGACCAATGCAGCATGACGCGACGAAACACTTGCCCAAACCTGCAATGAAAGCTTCGCAATTTTGGACCTTGACCAAAAACGGCGAAATGAACAACATGGAAAAGTGGCGAAACTGGAAAACACCATTCAAACATAGGGCAAAACCACGGGCTGTTCATGTCTCTTGTGGATTCGTTTTTGGACAGGGCCCTTCGCAAGCGACCACCTTCGGTGGCCAGTTGCGTTCGGCGGAGATTTCCGCGTCTCATCTGGCGGACAGCGGCTCCAGGCGAGGAGACAGGTGCCTCACGGCAAAGCCATCGAATCGAATCGGCGAGGCGACAATTTTGCTTTTTCTTGCTCGAACTCCTTTTCTTGGCCCACTGGGGAAGTGAAAAACAAATGTTTCAATTTTATTCATGTCTGCCCATAGAGGGGGGGGAGAAAAAAAACGTTTTGGAGACCCCGGCATCTGGGGTACTTGGGTTCGATGCCAAAACTGGCTGGATGCCAAGTGTCCGATTTCTGAGAAGCGGCCCTCCTTCAGCCCTTTGCACCAGCCTGGCCTTCGTGCACCCCAACATGCCGACGAAATGGCTTCTTCTGGACCCCGAAAGAGCCCCGAAAAAATAATATCAAAAACGAACACCTAACCGCAATATGTTCCAAGAGCCCAAGGACATGCAAAAATCAAAGCCACGCCATTCGAAGTTCGGTCCGTCCTGAAGGGATCCCTCGGCCGCAGCACCTGCGCGGGCGCCTCCGCCGCGCGGCGCGCGCCCACGCGCAAAGTCTGGGCCTCGCTGTGGACAGCACTCATTTGGATTGACATGGGTGGATGGGTGGATGGATGGGTGGCTGGGAAAATGGATGGGTGGATGGGCGGATGGATAGGTGGGTGGGGCGAGTAGCTGGGAACATGGATGGGTGTATGGGTGGATGGATGGGTGGATGGATAGATGGATAGGTTGATTGGTGGGTGGGTGGGGTAAGTAGCTGGGAAAATTTATGGGTGGATGGGTGGATGGATGGGGTGAGTAGCTGGGAAAATGGATGGGTGAATGGGTGGATGGATGGGTGGGTGGGGTAAGTAGCTGGGAAAATGGATGGGTGAATGGGTGGATGGGTGGATGGATGCATTGGGTGAGTAGCTGGGAAAATGGATGGGTGGATGGGATGGATAGGTGGTGGGGTGAGTAGCTGGGAAAATGGATGGGTGGATGGGCGGATGGATGGGGTGAGTAGCTGGGAAAATGGATGGGTGGATGGGTGGATGGATGGGTGGGTGGGGTAAGTAGCTGGGAAAATGGATGGGTGAATGGGTGGATGGGTGGATGGATGCATTGGGTGAGTAGCTGGGAAAATGGATGGGTGGATGGGATGGATAGGTGGTGGGGTGAGTGGATGGCTGGGGGTGGGATTAGGTGGGTGGGTGGGTGGGTGGGTGGGTGGGTGGGTGGGTGGGTGGGTGGGTGGGTGGGTGGGTGGGTGGGTGGGTGGGTGGGTGGGGTGAGTAGCTGGGTAAATGGATGGGCGGATGGGAAAATGGATGGGCGGATGGATGGGTGGGTGGGGTGAGTAGGTGGGAAAATGGAGGGATGGATGGATGGATGGATGGATGGATGGATGGGTGGGTGGGTGGGTGGGTGGGTGGGTGGGTGGGTGGGTGGGTGGGTGGGTGGGTGGGTGGGTGGGTGGGTGGGTGGGTGGGGTGAGTGGGTGGAAAAATGGATGGATGGATGGATGGGCGAATGGGTGGATGGATAGATGGATGCACGCATGGATGGATCTCCAAGAACACTGGAAAAGGGTACAAATGGGTTGCAAGGGGTCTTCATTTGAGCCGCCGCCCTATTGACTTTTGGTGCCATTAACATGGCGATAAAGGTTTAATTGCAACCTTGAAGCCAGGTTGGACCTACTAAAATGGCGCTTTTGGGGGGTTTTGGGCGCGGCCTCATTCGTAGGAACCTTTACAAATGTGGCCCAGACCTCCCGTTCCCAAAAGGTCCCAAGCCTTGGAGGTGGGTGAACTAGCCTTCCTTTGGTCTCGAAACCCCGCGGAGTGCCCAAAATGAGTCATGGAATCCGCGGAAATCAATTTGCGCCCGTGTCACCCATTGACTGGTGGTTCCAAAGTGGGTAGAAGTTATAAGGCTTTCTGCAACCCGTATGACCCAGGTAGGACCCGAACCTATTTTGGGAATCGGCTGAATGGGGCCGTCCCGGACCTATTCGATGCCTTGGTCGTCTTGATGCGGCGCTTTCCGTTGGGAGCATCCGTCGCCTAAGAACGCTCAAAGCACCCAAAACCCCCAAAAGATGTATTTACCCTGGAAGACCGGGGTCTTTCAAAATATACCTGAACAAACGAACTTCTCAGAGAAAGGGTCATATGATAGACTGGCGCTGGAAGGGTTTCAAACAAGTTGGGCCCTCGCCTACAAGCTCATTTTGGTTGGCTTTGAAAAGAAACCTTGAGGGAACTCAGCCGTTTCGGCGCAGACACTCTCTCCCTCCCCACTTATGACAGGCTACTTCGAAAGCCTTCATTGTTGCCTACCAACCTCTCACACAAGTGCCCTGTCTTTTTGATGGCCCAAGCCAGCCACTTTACCACAAGCCAAAGGCCACAAACATGGCTTCTTCAAGGATTCATCCAAAGGACCGCTGAGTCGCAAGGGGATCGCTGGTAGAAGTGCCATTTCAACTGCCCAAATGCATCCTTTAAGGGAACCTGCGTTTCACTCTTCGTCCTACTTCCCGGCTTCCTAGGAAGCCAAAATACCCCAGCAGAAGGTCGCTCCAGGCTTCGCGGGTTTCGTGGCCAAGTCGCCAGCCCAGCGTAGGCCTCGTACTGCGCATGGATCGCCGACTCAAACTCCGAGGCGTATTGCCCCGAGAGCCTCGACTCTCGTGCAATGGCAGGCAGGGCATGCCAAAACGGGTTGGGCTGTGCTTCGTTTTTTGCCACGTTTGGTCTCCTATGTTTTACAATGGCTTCCCAACTATGGTTACCTTTGGCTTACTACTAACAAAGGTGGTTTCTTACCACAGCTTCGACCTGGGCTCCCCCCCCCAACAAAAAAAAAGGTTGGTGTCCGTTTAAAGCCACCAAACCCGGTGCCAACTTCCTAGGGGGCCGTGGGACTCCTAACCTTCGGCTTTCGCCCACGCGGCAGGTCGTGCATCGGCGTGGAGGGCAGGTTGGCGCGGCCGTAGACCGCCTCGGGCGGCCCGGCTTCGGCGGCCAAGTGGATGGCTTAAGGGGGCGGATGAACACCCATGTACCACCTATGATGTTCACCAGGATTACAAGGTCTTGACCCTCCGCCCTTTTGCTTTGCAAGGAAACCAAAGGAAGCCAGCCAAAGAAACACGGGCCACTTTGAGAAACACCCGCATGAATGGTGTGGGCCCTCCCAAGTCAAGTTGGAAATCTGGGTGTTGACACATTCCCAGAGGCCTGCAAATGTCCGGCCAAACCAGTCCGACCCAGGTGAATCGGCGGCCTCGAGCTCAGGGTATCCTTTACGCAGGATGCGTTCCGTGGCCTGGCAGCCCAAAACCACACCCATGGGAAAACCTCAGGGAATGCTCCGAATGGCCTTGGTGTAGGGGCTAGCTGGGCCGCATCGAATGAGTTTTGTCGGGTCCCTATGTGTGTTTTGTGTTCTTCGCCGGGCGCAGACGCATGTCAAGCCCCTTGGATCTGGGGTCCTTCATGCACCAAACGGACATGTCTGTGATATATCCAAAACCGCTCGTTGCACATTGTTACATGGTCAGTCCTGCCAGCAATTGACTTCCAAAAACTGCTTAATCGCAAAGATGCAGTTGGGCAATTCAGCCGATTTTCCGCGCTGATCGTTGTTCTTCCTTTTTCGGACCTGAACAGTTACCTGAAGCAAAGCCTTCTGCCAAACCTATGCTACTTTGGCTCAACTTGCGCTTGATAATGCTGTCGCAAGGGACTTCTGCTCCAAGCCACCTCATGCCTGGGCAGCTGTCTCAGCACAGTCCCATCAGGGCCGCGAGGACCATTCAGCCTGCAAAGATGCCAAGCGGGGAAATGGGTTCCTGACACGCATGGGTGTGTCCTTTCTATTAAGAACCCCCCAAGAAAGAAATGAAGAAGCAAAATGGCCTTGAGTCGTTCCGAGGCTTTGGGATGGGTTCTTGGCGGGGAACATCCTTCAGTGCAACCCATCGGAACCTTTTTCTCGAGCCTCGAGGTCTGCCGTGTTGGCCGCAAGGAAAACTGTCCAATGAGGACCCCCTGGGCCCCTGGACCCCCCCCCTTTGGACGGCTTACAGTATATGGTTGGTCCTGATTGATGGCTGACGGAAAGAAAGATGAATCATGATGAATCATCAGCTTACCCTCTCTCCAACAACCATTCAAGTTGACACAGAGATTCCCGAAAGGACAGCAGCCTTCCAAAACCCTCCTGTCAGCCTCCATTGTTGTTGGGAGGGGAGAGAGGTTCAAGTGCAACCAAAAGAAAGGGCAACAAGCGAAACGAAGATCACTGAGATCAATCTCAATCGGCTTCCTGGGGTCTGTTTTTTTGTAAGCTACCCCCCAACTGGGGTGGCTTCCAATTAAGCCACCCCAACAAAGGTCGAGGGCCCCTCCAAAAAGAGACACCCCCAAATCCACATCCGCACCCATCCCACTCAATTCTTACAGCTCGGCTCTAGGGCCCATTGACTGCGCCTCATGTCCACGCCCTTCCGGAAGTCGTTCATCTGCTTCCCAGTCCTCAGAGAAATGCGTGCAAGCGCTTGCGCGCAATAAACAACCACCGCACCAAAAAATACTCGCAACCACTTTTAGCCCTTGAAAGCCATTGGCCGTGCCCTGTGGCTCGAAAAGTATGCGAACTGCATCTCGGCGTTGCTGCGCCATCAACGAGGGAGCACCCAAAGGTGTCCGTGTTGGAAACAAATGATACTCAGGATTGTGGATGAGAAACGAGACAATGGTGTAATGCTCATGTCGACGGGTACCCTCCCTAACGTGGAAAGCCCGGCAATGGAACCAAGTGTTCCAAGTTCGGGAGCTCCCATGTTGGCTTTGTCCAAACCTTTGATTCTTTTCACCTCGTTTCCACTAAGGATTGATGCGACCGGATTGATGCTTTTCCAGAACCACTTCCAAGGTACAAAGGCGACCCCAAGCATCTGCCGTAAGTCCCAAGCCACGACCCCGGCTCAACTGCCACCCATTTTTTGCGCCGAACGTTCCCGAGCAGTTGCGGCCCGCTCGACCAAGCGGCCGCACACCCCTGGTGGCCGCGACCTTGTTGATGGCGCGGAAATCCTGCGCCATGCACCCGGCCCTTTGGCGCTTCTGAGTCACTTGCTCAAAACCGATCGGTAAATGGTCGAGCCCCACCATGTAAAGAATTAGAGAGGCGGCCGCGACTATTTCCGGCTGGGTCTTTCCCTGACCAACCTTCATCTACCCAGGTTTTGATTGTGGCTCATCTGTCTCTTGACATGTCTCCATCGTGTTGCCTTCTCTCGCTGATTCAGTGCAAGACACGCATGCATTACCCGCACGTACGTTGTGCAAACAACCACATGGTCCTTCAACAACATGGGCATGGGTCAAAGACGAAGGTGTGGCGAAACGTCGATCCACTGGTGGACTTTCTAGCACCTCTGTCAGTTGTTGCTATGGATGCTTGTACCATGTTGCAACCAAACCGTGGGGGAGAGAGCCACACAACACATATAAAACCATGGCGAATTGCCGTTTCTATCCGGCTTCCTTGTAGAGTACCCAAGAAACGATATGGCAAAACCTGTAGGGGCCCAAGCAAATCCAATTCCCTACTGTGGATGGACAAAATCTGCCAAACGCAGATTGAAAAGGATTGTTATATTGGGCTTCGTCCATCTCAACCGGTGCGAAGTGGATTTTCGCTCGAAGCCCCATTGAATTTTAGTTCTAATAAGATGGCTTCAAGCTATGGGTTTATGTAGGCCTTTGCCAAGCAAGATACGAACCGAACCATCTGCTAAAAGGATGTCTTTTTGAGGGGATTCCCAAAAAATGGCGTTCTTTTTCCTTTTCCTCGCAAACCACAAAAGAAAAGCTTCCCTGAACAAAAGACACGCCCAAATGGCCCTCAACACCTATGCTCGACTCAGATGGTCAAACAGCTGCATTTTCTGAATTTTGGCGGGGAGGGTAGCTGACCCGGACTCGCCTGTGCCAAATCCTGGGGCGGCACACTCTGCGCGTGCTGCACCCACTTGCTGGTCACCGCCCGAGCTCCTGACCAGCCAGACAAAAATCGGCACAAGCAAAGCAAGCCAGCAAGCAAGCAAGCAAACAAACAAACAAGCAAGCAAGCAAGCAAGCGAGCAACCAATCAATCCAATTCAATCCGTCCAATCAACCACTTTCACCCATGTGTCAAAATGAGTTGGATCCTTTGGGGCGCTTCAAAGAGACATGGAATCCACCATGAAGGACCCCCTGTGATACCAATTCGCAGCAGCAGCACCGGCAGCAGTGGCACCACCTGTAGCAGCGGCACTTGCTGTAGCAGTAGTAGCAGTACGAGCCGGATGCCACATGTCCCCTTTGCAACTCCGGCCTTCCGGATCCCTTCGGGATGCGCAGCCATAGGCGTGGCCATCCGGTGGTAGAGCGTAGCCTCAGTCCGCGGCCCAGCGTTTTTTGTTTTGCCTGGCCCCGGCCTCGCTGCTTCACAGGTGCTTTTCTCACTGGAGAAAATGAAATGAGGAACATCCGTGGGGGCTTCATGTTGGCTCAGGTTGGTCTAGATGAATTTCAGGGCTTTGCCTCGCCAGGTGTTTGGCTCCTTTCCGAGCAGGATTGTGGCTGGTGAGGGGTTCAGTCAGAACGGGGCTTGGAATGCTGCTGTGTTGCTCTAACTGACCAACAAACCAACCAACCCGACCCGACCCGACCCGACCCAACCCGACCCGACCCGACCCGACCCGACCCGACCCGACCCGACCCGACCCGACCCGACCCGACCCAACCCAACCTAACCCGAGCCAACCAACCAGACCTGCCTGCCAGGAAGGCCAGGGCGAGGCAAGAAACATGCAATGTCCAAATATATTGACATGTTGCTTGAAACAGAAGATAGGGAACACCCTCAAAAGTGGGGGGTGGGCATCAATCCCCGACCTAGAAACCTCCTAGTAAATACTCCTCTCCATATCTGTGCGGCAAGGGTGTGCAGCTCTTTCTTTGACTCTGCTCCCAATCATGTGTTCAACTCAGTGCTCAAGGAACACTAGATGCTCATTTACTCTCGAGGTGTTAGGACTGGATTCTTAGGTTGTCTCATCTTTGACATCAAAATTCAGGCTCCCCCCTCGCTACTACGTGCAAGGAAAATGTAAGGTTATCTTCGAAACGTCGTTTGCCATCCCTCCACATAGTCACTTTCGATTGGACTCTCTTCCGAAAAGTGGCCGACAAGTTGTCCAAACCCTTCTTTTCGGGACTCTTCCAAGGTCGAGGTTGCCTGCGTATGGTCTCGCAAGGATGTCCTGCAGCCTCAAAGAGCGTGCCTAAAAACGTAGGGACGGCAACTTGGATCTTGGGTTTTTCCATCTGGTTCTTTGCGTCCGCCGGTTTTCCCATTTGATGCCTTCTTGAACCCACCCCAAGGGCACCATCAAAAAAAGGACAAGGACACGCAAGTTGCATCACGTCGCGTCCGAGCTGCAGCTTTGCCGAGCTTTGCCCACCTCATCCTCCCGAGCGCGGTGCGATGAGTAGCGATAGGCAATGAATTATTTCCACAAACCACCACTCCCGAGGAGAAAACATGAATTAATATAGCCTTGATATAGCGGCTCTTTAGCGGTTCTGTACCCGGTTCAACCCCTGGTTGTAGTGGTTTGGAGGAAGAGGAAACATGCGGAAACCAGCTCAGAAGCAGGGATGAGGGATCAGCCCGAACTGAACCATGAGTAGTTGCCACTAAGGAATCCCCGTCCCTTCCGGTTCGTTCCCCAAACCCTTACTGAGAACAGCAAGAGGAGAAGATGGACTCACGGCTCCATGCTACACAAGTATCCCCGAAACTGCTTCCGCAGCTCTGCCGAGGGCAGCCTTCCCAAGCCAAGTGCTGCATATCAGGGCACTGGAGCTGAGATTGAGTGGAGGGACCCCATTTTGGCGGGCACACAGCCATATCTCGTGTGGACTGTTCTTTTCTTGCATCAAGCGCCTTGGCAACATGAAGCATGTGCAGATTTTGTCTCCTTGATGATGACCGGGTTGTTCACGCGGAGGCGGTAGTCTTCAGACATGGCGGATACGGAATTCGTGCGTCCGAAGCGTCCAAGCCTACGCCTCTGTTCAAAGAGAGTCATGGCTATCGCGTGTCTGGCTGCAGCTCACCTGCTCAGATAGCCCGTTTTGAGCCGCGCACGCTGCAGACAGCAGTCAAGAGGAATCTCCTTTTGAGCAATGGACCCCTTTGTTGGGTTCCACCTTAAAACAAGTCGGAATGGTCCAACCAAGCATTTGGGCTGGAAAGCAAAACCTCCCTGTCAGCTGTTGGGGGCAAGTGGCGCCGGGGCCCCTGACACATGACTTTCGCAAAGGGACCTGACAGTTGCCGCCAGAAGGGACAAATGGCCCGAAGAACGTGATCAATGTACCCTGAACCTATGATTCAGATTGATTGCTTTCATCGCAGAAAATTCTAGGGGTTGATTCCTCATTCTTTTCAGCCATCGTGGTGTTCTAGAAAGAAGGATCCCTGGAAAGAATGGGGAAGCTACCCCTAGAAAACTTGCAACAAAAAATGCTGCCGAATCACATGGCTTCAACCGAATCGTTCTGAGACTTCGGAGGGAAAAGCCAACCTGTGGCGGGTCCGCGCGGCTTCAGGGGTTCAGCTGGTGAGAACCAAAGCACAGTTTAGGTTCCAAAGAAAAAGAACTTGAGCCACCCCCCAATTGTTCCATGCCTCGGCTTGCAAGGCCTCCTCCTGGTTTGCAGCCTCGATCCGGGCCCAGTGGGTTTCACTTGGGCCAACATGGACATCATTGTGGTGCGGATCTATGTCTGAAAAACAAGCTGTTTTTTTTGGCCGTGTTACGCCCCTTCATGTGGGGAAAAACAACACCCTCCCGACCAATGTTGCCACATTGATCTAGGGTCAGACAGCAACTGCGAGCACCTGCTCGGATTCTGAGAACCTCCAGATTTGAGAGGTTAGAATAAGTTGGTACCCTACTTTTTTCTGTAGTCTATTTTAGTAGGGGAACCCAAAACCCCAAAAAAGAAATGGTAAAAGTTGGCACCTAGCTGGACCTAGGGGCAATGAGCGCCAAGGCCCCTGCATCTGCCTCCTCTCCCCAAACCGCACGCAGACCTCGGGCTGCGCGAGGGGCGGGCGGCTGGTGGGAGGACCACGCAAATCGCGACACGTGAGAGCTGGGTGTGTGTGTTTTTAGGTGACCCCTCCAAAATGTCCTCGGTGTTCCTTTTGGGTTTCCCTTCAAAAATCACCAAGAACAAGGTAACCCCAAAAAACAAAGACAGACACGCCCAGATCAAGCAATCACAAGTTGCCCCGTGGCCCAAAATGAGGACCCTCACGATCCTGTCTTGAGCGGAGCCGGAGGTGGGAAGCCCCAGGCAAATCTCGAATGCTGAGAGCCCGTGATGTGTCGTTCTTTTAGGGACGCGCCAAATTGGTTGGTATTCTTTTTGGTCTCCTCTAAAACCAAACCAGAAAAAGGTACCAACTCCGAGGACGTAACACTCGTATGGCTGTCGGTTCTTGGGGCCTGTGGTTGCTCTGTTTGCCAGGGAGGCTGTCCTTGGCCCCGGGCCAAAGGAAATCTCAGCTGCCCTGCCCGGCACCGCGCATCCGCCCACAAAAAATAAGCACCCATGGTTTCAAGAATTGGGGTGTGATTGATTTGGGTTTTCAAGGAAAACCAAAAGGAAACCCATTTTGGGTGGGTTGCCCTATTTTCAGACAAACCCATTTGGCAAAAGAGGCTGTCCAAACACGAGACAAAAGCAATGGAGCAATTCTTCCCACTGGTTCAACGGGCAGGGAATGAGGGAATGTGGATCCGGTTTCTTTCCAAACCCCGTTTGACTTTGAGCACTGAGAACCAGCGATCAGCAAGTCTTCTGACGAGCAGACTCCACTCGAGCCCATTCGGCCCATTCGGCGAATTGGCCCATCGGCCCGCCTCCCATCTTGTCTCCAGGTCGCAATCTCACCGCCGATGCGGCGGTCGATCCACATCTTCAAGGAGACAGAGGGCCTCAAGCCCCTTGCAACCCCAAGCCGGGTGTCTGGGATACAAAAGATCAGCTGGTAGTACCAGATCAGCTGGTACATGTACCCTCTTTCCAACCCTCCATTTGCTTAAGTCTCCTGGAAAATTTTCGGAGACAAAAAGGCCTCCGGTCCACCTGCATGTTTGTTGCAAAACGAGGGTAGCAGCTGGCAAAGGTGGTTCTTCATTGCCCAAAAGGGGTGCCATGGGTAGCCTCCACCAACACACGCGCCCAAATAAAACCAAAAGGGAGCCCCTCCCTTTTTAGTCGTTTGAGGGTATCCACACCCCATGTGCGACATTTCGACCCTCACCCATTTGCTTTTCTTTACATTCTAGGGGTACCTTCCCCATTCTTTCCAGGGATCCTTCTTTCTAGCAAACCTCCGGGAACCCAGGGAAAACGGCCGGTTTTTGGAAAGAACGATGGTTGAAAAGAATGGGGAACCCCTAAATACATCGGTGTGTTACTTCCGGGGATTCCACACCCAACGGCAGGTTCCCGGATTTCTTACTCAGCTTGGGGCTCTGAAGCCAGGCACTCCCCACAGGCGTCCCGGACCTGGCGCCAGTGGAAACTTGCTGGTGCTTCAATTTTGAGTTGGTTCCTTATTGAAACGCGTAACCGTGTGGCTTTTTACTGAGCGGCCTGAGGAGTATTGGAATAGTCCCTGAAAATGGTATATACTCTTGTGACGTCCCTGTGAAATCCACAACTTCCCGGTGCTCAGTGCGGAGTGAGACTTGGAATGACCCGAACATCAAGCAAACGGGTGGCTTCTTTTGAAACCCCTGGCTTCATTCCCTCATTCCCTACTGAGGAACCCCTTTGATTTCTTTGGGTGGGTCTTAAAGGGAAACCAAAGGGAAAACGGTCCCGCAAATTGAGACAAACCCAAATGTTGCCATCCGTCCCAAAAGATTTGGCGACATCCGGGCCAGAGGAGCCGGTGGTCCTGTTGAATCCTGAGGGAACAAGAGGTCCCCCGTGCTGTTTCCTTGCGTCCTTGCGAACCCATGTCCCGCAACGGAAAGCAAGGATGGTTCATAGGGGGAATGACTGCCTCATTCCCGTCGAAAGCGCCGAGATCCAGCAAAGGCAAGGTCGTTATCCTGTTTGCCACACCGGTTCAAGTGACTTGGAAAGGACGGCCTGTGTTGAGACCGTGCGGTTAGTGACACACCGCACCAACCCTCTCTCCGAATTCATCCAACCTCCATCGGAGGTGCAACGCATCTAGCTCGAATTCCCCGCGGCCGATCAGTCATCCCTGGCGCTGTCGCAAAGCAAGGCTCCCTATATGGGTGCGTCTCATTTTAGCGGAACCCCGTTCCAAAAATGGACCTGGCCCTTATCTCCGCCTGAACCCAAAACAGCACAACACAACTGTGCAATCGACGTCCTGGTATAAACTTCACGTTGGGTTCTACGATTGTGAACAAGGTTGATAGAAACATTTCCACAGCCCTTACTATGTCTTCAGCGAGGTAGGAACCGAGCCACCCTGATGGGTGGTCAAAAACATGGACCCCTGTTTGGACTCCGGACCCCTTTCAAAGGGTACCCTCTCTCCGTTGCCACGACACCTGACGTGCGAGAAATCGGCCCCGAGGAAACGGATCTTGGTCTCGCACAGGTGCCTTCTGTTAGTGGGGAGGGCACGTACTTGCGGGTGGCTTATGTGGGGCCCTTTGAAAGGGGTCCAAGGGGTGGGCGAAGGAGTTTGGGGCGCTGAGCTGACTCATCCGAGGCCCTGGCTTGACCCGGGGATTCTGGTCCTGCTGCTGCCTCTCCTGGCCGCTTCGAAACACGCACTGCGGCTTCCTAGTTTCCCTTTAAACCACCTACGAAGGGCTGCCCTTCCTCCCACTAAGGACCCCTGTCAGGTGCCATGTTAGTGGGACAGAGGGTTTCTCCAATAATTACCCCGAGTTTGTTTTCGTTTGTTTGAGGGCGCCCCTTTTAAGGTACTTTCAAAAGGGTGGCGCCAAACGGGAACGGCAGCACGGGAAAGCCTGCGATTTTCGAGGGCTCGCCAACTTGAGACGCGACTCTCTTTCCAATGGAAGTGGACCAAGTCGCCAGTCGCTGTTCCTGCATGTGAAAAACCGCAAGGCTCAATGAGCTGCATGGCTTGAAGCCGTCAGCATCGTACAAATGCCCCCCAAACAAGATCATGCAAATCAAAAGATCATGCATCATCAAGCTTGATCAACTGTTTGTTTTAACAGTTGAACTGCTTGATTAATCAAGATCATGCAAAAGAGCTTAAGGGCGGATATCCGAACCTATGGCTGCTTCCAGTTCCGAATTGACATCCAACACCACCTGACAAATTCTTTCAATCAGCTGCGAAAGGTACTATTTCAACTGGCCCCAGCAGGTATGCTAGAGACCTAGAGACCCTCTACAAATCTTCCCCCCCTCCGACGTTGGACCCTGCAACCGTCCTTCTCTTCTTCCACCATGGACTGCAGCTTCCTGGGAGATCGTCTTCCGGTGCTCGAAACGGAAAATAGCCCGAATCAACGCCCAGGTCGGTTTGACTGGGGGGAGAAAAAAAAAAAAGACGGGAGCTCCACCAGTTCGGTTACACTGTCTTTTTTTCACAAATCTCCGAAGATTCATCAATGTTTGTTGATGCCATTTGACCCAGGAATATATACAGGAAGAAGAAAGGGAAGAAATCCGGGTTACTCTCACATAAATGTGGAAAAGTTCTTGAGGGTGCTACCGGCCATTCCCAGAGGGAGTGCAAGCATCAAATCAGCTGTCCGAAAGGCGGTTCAGCTCCTCTGTGAGTCAGTGGGCCGATACTCAAAGTCCCAGCGCCCATGCAAAATCAAGCAGACTGAGAATAACGAATCGATCCCATGAGGCGCGCAAACGACCGGTCGAGTCACCAAAAGTGGACTGCTCCAAAAGCTGAGCCCCTTCATGTTGCCTCGCTTGTTGCAGATAGGGAAAACGCAGAGTTGCAACCCAATCGCATAGCACGAACCTTCGCCTTGCGGCCAAGTGGCGGAAGGAAGAACATGGCTCCACAGCTGACAAGGCCTCACCGCGCACACGGGCTCTTTGGCATGGAAATTGTTCTTGGCGTTTGTAAACAAGCGGGCTTGTCTCCGAATCGGGGATCCCCCAAAATAAATTGGGCTTCCTTTTGGTTTCCTAAAGAAGAACGACACATCCAAGCGGAAGAACCAGGGAGAAGGGGGGAGGCGCTGAGTTTTCAAAACAAGGTCTCTTGTTGGGGAAGAAAAACCACGGGGGCTCAACATGTACGAAACAGGACAAAATTCCCTGTCCTGGTTTGTTGGTCAACCCACATCTTGCCCGATTATCCCACAAAGCATCCAGACCCTGCATCTTTTTCTCTCTCAATTTGACACATGCCCAAACTCACGCCCCGCAGGCAGTGTGTTTGTGCAGCCATGCTGTGAAGCTCCCACATCATGACATTGCCATCATGGACATGGGAAGATGAGGGAGTGACCCTGTGTTTGCTTTGGTAGTTGTTTTTTGCGTCCCCCATGTCCTTCCCAAATGAACCAAACTCCCAACATTAAAAACCAACTCTGCTTGGGTTGTGATGCCAACCCCTGACTGGAAAAGGCGGTATGTACCTTAGAAGATCTTGAGTTCCAACAAATACCCTGGCACGAGCAAGTATTTGTCCCAGACGCCTAGCGCCCATGGAGAAGAAAAGTGCGCTCCTTCTTTATTAGTTGAGTTTCAAGGAATACGCCCGCCACAAAGACCCGCTGCAGGACAGGATTGTCATAGGACTTGGATTTTTCTGGAAACCAACTGAAGCAACAAAGCTCGGAGCCTATGATGGCCATCGGGCTCTTGAAGACCGAGAGCACATTGAATTCCTGCCACGGGATGCCGATAGAGGCGGCTAGGGTTCCATAAAGGAAACAATAAAAACATAGAACGCCCGAAGAGCGTCTGTTCCAGGGAGCTTTGATTGAGGGATGAGCTTTGGGGATATGGTGTGCCAACAGGGAAACCAGCAAGCAGCGCCGCCATTTGCGGGGGTTGCCTTGACATCATGGACATGTCCATGTGTGCCGTGGCCAAACCTCGCTAATCAATGGGTGACTCCATGGTGACGACATGTGCCGGTCCTGGCGAAATGCGTCTGTTATCCTTGTGGCCCCCGCTTTATGACCAAGATTGAGTCAGGTAGCCATGAAACGCAAGGGTCGTTGGGCCTTGCAAAGGACGCAACACGATGCACCAGGTTTGGGTGCGCTTTGTCAGGCAACCTCCAACACCCACTGACGACGCGCCACCAGCTGCTTCTCGTGGTATACCAGGCCTTGCGCAAGTGAAGAGCAAGTTGCGTCTCTGTGTAACTGCAGCCCCTCGCGCTTGCTGCTTGGCCCGTGAGCCATCGCAGCCGAGCTGACGCATAGGACAGACGGAGCAAAGCTTTGGCCACGGCACACTGAGCAACGAACGTTGCCAGATGGCGGACTCAAGAGGACTACAGTTTTCCAAAGCCCGTGTGTCCACGATTGTGGGGAAAGAGGGGTATTGGATTTTGCTGGTCAGTGATGACGGACATGGCACGAGCTGGGCCTTTGGGCCGCAAACAGTCCGCGTTGAACTTGCGAAGTGGCCAGGGTCAGACCGATGCCGGCTTGGGCGACTAGACGAGTCTATCCGGTGAGTTCGTGCCTCGCGCAGGTAGCGGCGGTGGGACATCCTTCAAGTTGAAAATGGTTTAGAAGCTCCGGCGCCCTGCGTGGCGTGGTTCCCTTTTGATTCCTGCCGGGTCAGTTTGGCCACCTCGGCTCGTTTTCTGGTTCTTGCGGCCCGTAAAGAATTGCACCCCACAGCGTGGAGGAACACGCCATGAGCCACCGAATCCGACATTGGATCCTGGTTTTCTCGCTGACGCGCCCATACCAGTTTTGCTTGCGCGTTCATCACACTTGCCGTCTGGGCCCTGACGGGGCCCTTTCCAACCGCAACCATCCACCCTACGTGCACAGGTTTAAGCCCTATGGCTGCACTGCCTTCCGCCCCAGATGAAATCCACCTCCTTGAGGACAGGACCACCTCGTTGACCCTCTCGCGGGCACCAGCGCAATGGCGGCCCCAACATCTGAACAGACCGCTATGGGATCGGCTGGACCGGTTAACCAGCTGGTAGCTGTCTGAGCCACCTGGTCAAACCTGTATGGCGAGAAGGCTGCCTATGCTGCCTTATGGTTTTCTAAAATCAATTCGCCTGCCCACAAGACAGTTGACCCCTCCTATGGTTGTTACTTTACATAGCCCCTAGGACCTGGAGGTTTTGCCCCCCCCCAAAAAAAATAAATAAATAAATATAAACATAAATGGCCGCAACTTCAATCGCTCCTCCCTCTTCTCCAGATAGGTGAAGGTGCCCATGGGCGCCAGACCCAGTGGGTACTTCAGCTTCACCTCCGCGAGCTGATCTGCGCAGATCAGCAAACCCAAGGCTCTAGATATGTCTAGCGGATCAACTGGTTTTGCGCACGTGCAAACCAGAAGTATCTGGAGGTCGTCCAGCAAATTGCCGC